TCTTAACCGCAGGTGGATAATTACTTTGGCTATAGTCTGCCCACTTTGAATTGACAAGCATGGAGACAAGTAGGTCTCTATGATGCCTACTTGACATGGAAGTTTGAGATTTTTCTTGTACTTAATACTTTTTTTTTTTTTTTTAGTTGTAGTTGGACACAATATCTTTATTTTATTTATTTATTTTTATATGGTGTTGAGGATCGAACCCAGGGCCTCACATGTGCTAGGCGGGCGCTCTGTTGCTGAGCCACAATCCCAGCCCCTTGTACCTAATACATTTTTATTGTCCACATTAAAAGAAAAAGAGAAAGGTAGATAGACTGAAACACAGTACTGAGAATGACACAGGCAAGAAAGGGTGGCACCTCAGTAACCTTATTTTTATCACGCTTGAATCAGTGTCAAGGGTTAAAATTTTCTAGCCACTGTGGATACTATTTCATAAAGTAATTGTTAGTATTTTCTAACCTTAAAAACAATCTAAATGCTATAGAAAAATTTAGAAAATATTAAGGAGTAAATAAGTTGTCAGTATTCCCATTATCCAGAGATAGCCACTGTTAATAAATATATTACTACATGGAGGTTTGCATACTTTTATTCTTTTTCTTGTGTGTGTTTTGAGATCACAGTGAATTAAAAAAAAATTAGTTATAGATGGACACAATACCTTCATTTTATTTATTTATTTTTATGTGGCGCTGAGGATCAAACCCAGTGCCTCACATGTGTTGGGCAAGCATTCTACCACATGAGCTACAACACCAGCCCTCACAGTGATTTTTATAGCCTAATTTCACTTAACCTTATATTGTGAGCATTCCCTATGTCACTGATAAGTTCTTTAAGAAAAAATGGGAGCCAAACATGGTGGCACACTCCTGTAATCCCAATGACTCAAGGCAGAGGAAGATCGCAAGTTCAAAGCCGGACTCAGCAACTTAGCAAGACCTTGTCTCAAGAAATAAAAAGGACTGGGATGTGGCTCAGTGGTTAAGTGCCCCTGGGTTCAGTGCCCCTGGGTTCAGTGCCTAGTACAAAAAAAAAAGAAAGAAAGTAGAGGAAAAAATTTAAAATGATTAGCTTTATAAACCATTATTTGGATATGCTGTAACTGAAACATGTCTCTGTTCTCAGTCTCCAATTTTTGAAATGACTAATGCATGGTTTTCCCTTTCCTTACTCCTACCACCCACTGATATTATTTCCTTAGAATACATTTTTTTCCCCCAGTAGTGCTAGGGATTGAACCCAGGGCCTTGTGCATACTAATCAAGCACTCTATCAACTGAACTATATCCCCAGCCCAGGATACATTCTTAATAGTGTAACTTTACTACATTGAACTTTACAGTTTTTATTAGGAAGTAGGGGAAGACATGTTGTCTTAAAAGATCATACCAATATATGCTCCCTCCAGTAAAATACGAGAATGTCTTTCTCCTGCACCTTTGCTGGCATTGTACATGAGCAGTTTTTGTTACTTGGTAAAACATATAGTTAAGAGCACATGAGTACAGTGTCCTCTGTTATATAGATAGAGGACAACTGGAGATTCTTGTCTCATAATTTGTCTTATAAAATATGGGGGAAATAGATTCAGTCGTATGAGAAGTACCTCATCCTCCTAACATCACATTCACCAGTCTTCCCATGTATATCAGAATACTTTCTCTTCCTTCCCATTACAATGGATGAACTGTCCCTATTCTTACCTGAAGTTAATGCTTCTCCATGTATAAGCTTGATACCTCCTTTCATTGCTTAGGAACTTCATTCTTTTGTCTCACCATACTAATTTCTCACCTTCTATTTCTACCTTTTACTGGATTGTTCTCATTAGTCTTAAATCCTTAATATGGCTCATCTTTATTTTAAAGTGAAACAAGGAACATCATCTACCTCTAGTCCCCCTCCAGCTACTGCCCCAGTTCTCTTTTCAAAGCAAAATTGGAAAGAAACTGAGGCTGGAGGTATAGCTCATTGGTGGACCACTTGCCTGGCATGTGTGAGGCCCCAGTTTCAGACACTCACACCACAAACAAACAAAAAACTGGAATTGTCTTTACTCACTTTTGTTATTCACAACAATTAGTTCTTTTAAAATATCACTTTTAAAAAGTTTAAAACTTGGCTGTTGGTAAGATATAAAATTAACATGTTAAATATTTCATTTAATTAATTAATGATAGAACCAGTAAGATGTTAAGAACAGTTAAAAGGGGAATTTGTTAATATTCAAAACTGGTTACTTTCCTGTAGGGTAATAAATGTAAATTGGAAGGAGCAGGGTTTTTTTTTGTTTGTTTGTTTGTTTTTGTCAGGTGGATATCAATTACATCATTACAAGAAAAATTCAATTTCACTGCTATAAACAAGAATCATTAGCCTAGCTATTTTCTATGGCTTAACTTCCTAGAGAGTTGTAAAGATACTGTCAAGAGATTAGTTAAAAGAGTGTATCCTATAGAATCCATAATCCCGGAGAGTTCTAAACAATGCCCAGCACCCCATTGAAATTAGACCTAAAAATCTCTTTTGCCCACTTTCAGGTCTCGGATAGTATTTTCTTACTATATACATAACATTCAACAAAACCAGTGCTCTCATCTAAATTGACCTCTTAGCAAGACTTGGAATGGATGAATAAGCTCTCTTTGAAAGATTTTTGCATGCTTTGTATACCACATGCATCCAGTTTCTCTACTAAATCTCTAAATAGCAGGGTGCCCCAGTATATCTCTTGCCCTGATCTTTCCCCCAACTTCTAGACTCTTATCTATATCCACTGTTCAACTCTAGTTCAGGCTACCATCATCTTCTGCTGGGACTATTCAGAAAGTCTTCTCACTGGACCATATGCTGCCATTCTGACCATCTGCAGCTGATTCTCCCTTTATTCAGAATGCTGTTCCTCTTCCACCTAAAATGTTCCAATGATTTCTCCTTATAATTAGGACAGAATCAAAGTTCCTTCTGTCTCCTATGACCTTATGTAATTTACCTTTCCCTTGTCATCCTTCTTTACTCCTTCGCTTCCTTTACCATGCACTAGTCAAACTCGTCTTTCTGTACCATGCGTGCCGCAAACTTTTCCAAATCCTTTGTACTTACTGGTCCTTCCTCCAGCAGTGACATCCTCTAGTGGCAACACCTATATCATTTAGACTTCTGTAAATATCACCTCAATGGTGACTTCCCCCCACCTTAGCTAAAGTAGCTCATACTCCCAGTTTATTAGTTAACCTTATTTTATTTTCCTCAGAGCTCCTTCCAGTGTCTGAAATCTTATTATTATTAGTTTATAATTATTTCTGTCTAGAATGAAAGCTTCTTAAAGGGAGGAACTTGTTTCATCTTCCACTCTGTTGAAGGGTCTAGGCTAATTCCTGGCACAAAGTATGTGCTCACTAAATACTTGCTAGCTAACTAAAAGATGGTTCATCCCAGTTGTGCTTGCATCCTCCACTGATTTTTCTAAAAATCCTATAGGAAGTAAAAGGGTAGAAAAGCAAAGAGCCTTCATAAAAATGCAAACCATAGACTGGCTTTGGGAGAAGGTGAAACACTCCCCTCCTCTGTGATTACATTGAAATGGACTTCCTTTTCTCTGTATTCTTTGTCCATCTTTCCTACCAGAAGTGCACACAAAACTGGAGAGAGGTGAGGGAGGAATCTAGCTTTGTAAATGGAAGGAATTGTTTCCAGGAGATCATGATTGGGGGCCTTCATGCAGTCTCAGTTTGGGAACATAAAGTTCCAGAGAGGATGTCGGTGATGGCTGTGCAATGGTGTGACTATACTTAATGCCACTCAACCATATACTTTAAAATGGTTAAAATGATAAGTTTTATGTATGTGGCACTAAGATTTTTAAAACTTAAAAAGCAGGGGACTTTCTAGAAAGCCTTTCATGGGTGACGAGTCCTGATGGTAGGATTGTGTATTTCTCCAGTATTTTTTATTTTAGCATAGGACAGAGGTTATAGTATTTTGCTTAAAATTTTTGACATTCCAGGGCTTCTAGAGTTGAGAAATTCTTTTGAGCCTCTTTGTTCTTGTTTCTTGTTTTATTTCTGTCCTGTTTTCTTTTTATTTGGGGAAGTACACTACCAGGGCAAGTCCCTTTGTTCCTGGAAAGCTAGAGACTACTAATAGAACTTCAGGAGACAAGTAAAAAGGAGATGGCTTCCTCAGGCAGCACAGCAGAGTGGGAATAGAAGGGCATCTGTCACTCAGTGGGCGTCTGTTGTCAAACTCACTTCATCACTAAAAGTTTGGTTTCTTGACTTTGTAGAATTTCCATGAAGAGTAAAGACGAGATGTTTCACATAGTACCTGATATGTAGTAAGTGGTGGTGGCTTCGATTGTAAGGACTTGTTCACTGTGTGAGATGCAATTGATGGAAGAATGAAAGCAGAAACTCTATAGTCTTTACTTCTAGGTTTCCTAGACCCTTCGACATCCTAAATGAGAAATTGGGATCTTAAAACTCAGTTTCAGAATAAAGATTATATGGAGGTTTAGAACTTCTTGGTACTGTGTCTCTTGGGAATCTAAGCATTGTAGAATAGTATTATCTGAGGTATACCATTATGTTAAATTTTTGGTTTTTATTTTAACTGTGTTTAGTTGGAAGCCAAATTCCTACAGATGACCTGCTTTGTTGTGTGACAAAGGAAACACGTTGCGTTCCCTATCTTAATCTGGCAGAGATACACAAATGGAAAAATTTATCCAGCTGCACAGTTCTCTGTGTACTGATATGATTCATTATATGTAATTCATAGCTCAGTTAAGAACAAAAAAGAGAGAGCGCTTATATTGTGCATACTTTGCAAAGGCAAAGTATTAATAATCATTCTCCCCAGGTCTGACTCACAGAGACTTTTAATAACAGAGGAAAAACAAGGGTATCTGGAGAAATAATCACTGGGAAGACTAATATAGTACATTGGTTTTATAGTGACTTTATTCTATTTTGCTTATATTCTAGTTAAGAAAAGTAACCATGGAGAACAATGAAAACTCAGTGGATTCAAAATCCATTAAAAATTTTGAACCGTGAGTATTTAAGTGGAATCCTACACAATCAGAGAAAAATGGGTATGTGGAATACAGCAGATTTTGAGAAATGGGGAAGCAGAATATGAGCTAAATGGAGGATAAAACTAAAAAAAAACAACAACATAGGGAGAATAAAGGGAAAGGCCTGTACAGCTTCTGACCCATGACTAGAAGTACCAGACAGCAGAGGCAGAACTCACTCCTCAGAGTGTGCTGGCCCTTCCTAAATCACTGTACAGGATTAGAGGTTTTGTGTTTAGGGTGTTTTTGACCTCTGGTTTCTAGATTTTAAATTGCAGTGTCAATATTCAGTCTGGGAAAGAATTGCCTATTTCTAGATTATCTTTTACTGTAACTTTGTTTTGTTTTGTTTTGGCCTTCCTTTCAGTTTGCTTATTAATACTTCCAATAACTAGTAGCTAGAGAAATGAAAAATATAAAACTCTTCATTTAATTGATGTCTCTTATTTTCCATGTGAAATCTTTTGTGATATTTTTAAGTATTCTGAGTTGATCAACCCAATGTCTAAATGTACCAAAACATCACAGTATACCCCACAAAGATGTATAATTGTTATCTATCAATGAAAGGAAAATTTTTGATTCTATTAAGTTTATTTCTGAGGCCCAGTATTATTGGAGACCACTTACTGTGAAACAACTTATTGTAGCAATGCTATTGACAAGTTAGTAGTAATAAAGATTTAGCATGTTTGTTGAACAAAGTAATTTTCCTAAAAATCAAACTTTTGAAATGCAATTCCATTTTCCAGAGTTTGTTGTTGTAGTTTGTTGTGTTTAAATACTTCTAAAGTGATTTATACATTTCCCTATTTTCTTGTCATACAGAATATCATATAAACAGGAAACTGCATATAGTCTCACAGAAATAAGGCACCCTCATATTCCCATATTTTGAGTCTCTGGTCTTTGTTAAGACGTGGCTCCTCTTGGTCTAGTGATCGTATTGCTGGTAGAGGATCTACCTCCTAAGGAGGCAGCAGGAGGCATTGGGGAAAGGGCATCAGGAGAGAGGAGTTAAAAGTTCTGTGGTCTATTATAGGTTGGTATCCCTTATCTGAAATGATGAGAACCAAAGTGTTTTGAATTTCATATTCTTTCAAATTTGGCTGTATTTTCATGTATATAATGAGATGTCCTGAGGATAGGACCCAAGTCTAGACACAAAATTATGTTTTATAAAAACCTTACACAGAAAACCTGAGGTAATTTTATATGACACCTTCAGTGCACCTGCGTTTTGACCACAACCTGTCATATGAGACCAGGTGTGGAATTTTCCAGTTATGACATCACGTTGCTGTTCAAAAAGTTTCATATTTTTGACCATTTCTGATTTTGAATTTTTGGATTAGTGAGGCTCACACATATTCTATATAACCTGAAGCTTTTAGGGTTTTCATTTTCGCTGTAAAATATGGGCTCTTAACCTCTAGCTAAATGTTAAAATTGTTTTCTTACCTTGACTCCTTTAATTTACTACTTTTAATTTTTGTTCCAACAAAATTTTTGAAACTGTTAAAAATCTAAAATACTATAAAATACTTGAGTATATGGACTTAAGGTTTTGGTGTTTGGTTGTTCCTGGGCTTGTTATTTCCAGATTCTTTGTAGATCACGATCAGAATCATGGTCGGTTTTTGGAACATATCCATACCCATTCATTCACATAAAGTTCTGGGCTAATTTCACTAGCAAAATTGAATAGCTACAACAGAAACTAGATGATCTAAGAGCCCAAAATATTTACTATTTGTCTCTTAAAAACCAGTTTACTAAGCTGGGTGCAGTGGCGCACACCTGTAATCCCAGCAGCTCAGGAGCCTGAGACAGGAGGATCCTGAGTTCAAAGCCAGCTTCAGCAAAAGCAAGGAGCTAAGCAACTCAGTGAGACCCTGTCTCTAAGTAAAATGCAAAACAGGGCTGAGGATGTGACTCCGTGATTGAGTGCCTTTGAGTTCAATCCCCAGTACCTTAAAAAAAAAAAAAAATCAGTTTACTGACCCCTGATCTGGATAGCCAAGGTTTGAATTTATTTATTTATTTGTTTGTTTGTTTGATACTAGGGATTAAAACCAGGGTCACTTAACACTGAACCACTTCCCCAGTCCTTTTTATTTATTTTTTAATATTTATTTAATTATTTTTAGTCGTACACAATACCTTTATTTTGTTTATTTATTTGTATATGGTGCTGAGGATTGAACCCAGGGCTTGCATGTGCTAGGCAAGCACTCTACTGCTGAGCCACAACCCCAGCCCCCAGTCCTTTTTATTTTATTTTTAGTTGGGGTATTGCTAAGTTGCTGAGGCTTGGGATCCTCCTGCCTTAGACTTGAGTCATGGGATTACAGGTGTGTGCCACCATGCCCGGCTTCAATAGCTAAGGTTTTTAAATAAGTGACTTCCAGACAAGTATTTTCAATTATTTATAACAGTGCTTCTGTGTATTAATAAGTTATTCATTTGTTGAGCTCATAGAGCTTGAAGAAGTTTAGTGATTTCCTATCATTTCAAGGTGATCTCTAAGATGTCATTCTTGGGGCTGAGGTTATGGCTCAGTGTTAGAGTGCTTTTGGGTTCGATCATCAGCACCACATAAAAATAAATAAAATAAATGTATTCTGTCCATCTACAACTAAAAAAAAAAAAAAGATGCCATTCTTTCCTTAAAGGATAAACTATTTCAGAATTGCAAAAAAAAAAAATGTTTTAAATTATAAAATGCATTTGATGAAATTTTATTAAAATTTAGAGGAAAACATGAAACAGAAGTTAAAAGCCTAAACTTCAAGTCCAGCAAAGTTTTCCTCCAGCCTTGGCTCTGACACAATATCTGCATAACCTTCAGCACATTGCTTAGCCTCAGGCCAATCATTTCCTCATCTGTAAAATGGGTTGTAAAATTTAAATGAGGAAAAGCCTTTAGCACAAAATTTTGTGTCTAGCATTAAATAAATGTAAACTGTTCTTATGAGTCATAAAAGTTATATTAATGGATCAGTCCAGTCATTTCTACCTTGATGAACTGTTGTTGATTTCCAAACAGAACGCTCATACATGGAAGCAAATCAATGGACTCTGGAATATCCTTGGACAATCGTTACAAAATGGATTATCCTGAAATGGGTTTATGTTTAATCATTAATAATAAGAACTTTCATAAAAGCACTGGTATGTATCTTATCTGATATTTTAAACTTTTCAAGCATTTGTGCCATTTGTATTTGATATTAAAAAAAGAAAAAACCAAACAGGATCCATGTGTAAATGATTGGTAAACTGTGATACAGAATAGCCAGAAAGTAGAGAAAAGGCAGAACCTTGCAGGTCCTTTAAAACAATGTGGACTTTTCTACCATGTTCAGAAGCTCTTCCTCTTCCCACAGCCAGCCTCCTGTTTATGTGCTTGGCTTCTACCCCTACTAACCTGTAACCCTTGCTTTTTCTTTATTCTTCTGCTCCCTCTTTTATGACAATGAAAGGTTCTCAACAATTCCTAAGTAAGTAGTAGTATTTTTTTCTTTCCAGAACCTGCAAAGCATATGACATATATTGTCTCTTTTATTTTTACAACAATCCTGAAAAGTAACTAACTACTGTTAGATTACAAAAGGTTAAAAACCTTGCACAGTCATGTAGGTATACAGTAGCAGAGCTAGAGTCTGGACCCTGGTGTGTCTGACTCCAGAGTCCCAGCTCTTATTCCCCCACTTGGTCGGTCCTGCTTTACTTCTTGTGTCTTCATTGACTCTTGCCCTTTTCCTCTTTACCCTACAAAGATGACAGAGATCGCATATTAAAGACACCTTTGTTTTAGTGTGCTTCCTCTTAAGGTTTGATCTGATGCTCACCTCCTTCCCTTCTTCCCTAAATTTTGAAAACATGTAGTTTAAGCTTGCCATCTTCCCTTCGTGCCACTTTCTCTTAAACCTATTTTTCCTTTCCATTTTCTACCTTCACCACTGAAACTGCTGTGTTTAAATTCACCAAGGACTGAGCACCAAGTCCCATTTTCAGTGCATCCTGTATGATTTGAATCTAATAACACATTTTAGAATATCTTTTTAGACAACATAGAAAATAAAATACTTCACAATCCCCAAAATTTAATTAACATTTTGGTACATTCCTTGATCTTTTTTTTTTTTTTTGACAGTGTTTTTGAAAACTTATGCAAGCAAATATTGTATCCTCCTTGTCCTACTCAATTTACTATAAGCATTTTTTTCATGGCCTGCATAATTTCCCTGTTATTTCAATGATTATATATTACTGCATCACCTAAATATGCCAATATTTAATTTGCATATTTTACCATATAAATTAGTATTTTGTCTCTTTCCTCTTTTTTCATCTTTAATATAATGCTGTAATAATTATTTGAATCAGCATGTTAATCATATTGGAATTAATTTTTAATTAGAGAAACTAGGTGCACAGATCTAATTTAGGAGACTCCCAACCAGAATGGTAGTGAGAATGGAAGGAAGTCAGATTATACAGGAAAGATAAGCAGGAGTTGGTGTTAGGTTAGTTAAAAGGACTGAGGAGAATAGAGTTGAGAAATTGGTCTCTTAATCTGAATGGTACTGTTTTTATTACTTTTGGCTACAAATTGAGAGACCAACTTAGCTGTTAAATAAATGACAAAGCACTTTGTCATTCACTTTACGTATTAAAATTTTACTTGTAGATATTTTAGTCAGCTTTTTTGTTGCTTTGACCAAAAGACCTGACAAGAATAATTTTTTAATACTTATTTTTTTTAGTTGTAATTGGACACAATACCCTTATTTATTTATTTTTATATGGTGCTGTTAGACCAGGACGCAAGAAAAGACCACTAACTCCAATTAAAATCAAATTAAAGCAAGCTTATTATTTCGACCGGCCAGGCTGCCTCTCCCTCCCAAAACGGCGGGAACAAGACAGCCCCCAGCTTTCCTGAAGCCCAGCTTTATAGCCCAGAAAGTTACACAAAGGGGGGTTACAGATAACAGAACTCTGACAAGCATCACACTAATGGTAGTTTACATTTTTTGCTGACCCCAACATCAGAATTTATGAGGACCATTAGAGCCTCAGAGAGGGTCGTTGTCTGGCCAGGGAAGGCCAATATTTATGAGGTGTCACTAAGTTTCAGAGAGGGCTGCTATCTGGTCAGAGAGCCAGGCATGGGTGAGTTCAAGGCACGGGCAGGCATTCCAAGCAGGTTCAGAATTTGCAGTAATTTATAGTAAAGCCGAAATTATCTTTTCATGATTTTGTGGGGAGATGCCCAATTTTAAGAAAAGATCGGGTTGGGTCTATCAGTGCTGAGGATCGAGCCCAGGCTTGAACATGCTAGGCGAGTGCTCTACCACTGAGCCACAACCCCAGCCCTGACAAGAATAATTTTAAGGAGGAAAAGTTTATTTTGAGGCTTGCAGTTTCCAAGGTCTCAGTCCATAGATGGCCAACTCCATTCCTCAGAGCAGAGACAAGACAGAACATCATGGCAGAAATGTGTGGTGGAAGGAGCCGCTCAAGACATCCAGGAAGAATGGGGAGCTCTAGGACAAATTCTATGCCCCAAAAGCATTCCCCCAATAACTCACCTCCTCCACCCACATCCGACCTGCCTTTAGGTACCACTCAGTTAATCCCTATCAGGGGATTAATTCACTGATTAGGTTAAGGCTTTCACAACCCAATCATTTCACCTCTAAACCTTCTTGCACTGTCTCATACATGAACTTTTGGGGGGCGCCACATATCTAAACCATAATAGTATTCTGCCTCATTTTCTACAAATATCCATTTGTATTGGCCTATAGAATTTTATGCTATTGAACTTATTCTTTCTTTTTTGTTTCTTTCCTTCCTTTTCTAACAGTCGTCTGGCTTTTTCTGGTTTGAAATTTGAATGACTAGCAGTGTTTTCCATTCTGTAAAGTGGCCCACAAACTTTGCACATGTTTCTTTCCTTTTCTATCTTTTTTGTTTGTTTGTTTTGTTCTGTTTTGTTGTGCTGGGTATTAAACCCATGGGCTCCCCTAGGCTAAGCACATATTCTACCACTGAGCTATACCTCCAGCCCTGGACAAGTTTCTTTTCTTTTACCTCTTTTTTTTTTTTTTTTTTTTTTTTGTAGTTGTAGATGGATAGCATACTTTTATTTTATTTGTTTATTTTTATACAGTGCCAAGGATCAAACCCAGTACCTAGGATCAAACCCAGTGCCTCACACATGCTAGGCAAGTGCTTTGCCACTGAGCCACAACTCCAGCCCCTGGACAAGTTTTTTAACTCATCTGTGCCATATCCCACATCCATTACAGATGAAGCTAATAGTAATAACTCATGGTAGTTGAAAGGATTAAAGGAGATTACCCATAGCAGAATACCTGATGAATAGTATTAATGAAATATGAGAGCAGAAATGTATCTTAAAATTGTTGTAAACTTAGAATTAAAGAAATTCAGTCCCTGTGAGTATATATAATTTTTTTTCTTAAACAAAAGTAGGATCATAGTGGTTTTTAGTCTTTAAAAAAATAAAATGACCATTTTCCATGCCAAAATTTTATATTTAAAAAAAAGCAACATACTCCATTATACAAATGAATCATAATTTATTTGACCAAACCCTTATTGTTAGGCTTTTGAAGTCATTTCTGTTTTTCACTGTCTAAACATCTGTGAAAGATATCCTTGTATCTGTAACACTGAGACAGCTTATATTATAAAGTGTCTTATATGCAAAAAATTAAAGAGGTTTTGTGTTACATGTTTAAAATAATTCAAATTTTCTTAACCATTTAAAAGGAAGAATTCACTGATTTCATGAATTGCTACACAGTTCATTATTTCAAAGCAGATATTCTTCTTTTAAAATGCAATTAAAAGTAATTCTTTCTGTTGCAAGGGATGGCCTCTCGGTCTGGTACAGATGTAGATGCAGCAAACCTCAGAGAAATATTCATGAACTTGAAATATGAAGTCAGGAATAAAAATGACCTTACACGTGAAGAAATTGTGGAGTTAATGCACAATGGTAAGAAATAATTAGAAAGAATGACCTTCAACTGTGGAATTATACTGCATGCACATAATTCTGATCTTATATATTTTAATAAGTAGTATAAATTTTATTCATGCTAGCCCCCTACAGTGGTTTCCAGTTTGTGGCTGTGCCCCAAGTTAGATTTAGATGATCTCATAGTTCTATTCTCAGTTTTCTTTTATATTTATATATAAATTATATATATTTACATATAATTATATATATTTACATATATATATGACAGTAGAGTGTATTTTAACATATTACATATACATGGAGTATAACTTACTAGAATTCCATTCTTATAGTTAAATATCGCTGTTCTCAGTTTTTTCATCTGATTCACCTATAGTATGTCTGAGATTGCTGAATAAAGTTTCAAGAGTTGTTCTTTTTTTTTTTTTTTTCCTCAAAAATGTCTTTCTAGTTTCTAAAGAAGATCATAGCAAAAGGAGCAGCTTTATTTGTGTAATTCTAAGCCATGGTGATGAAGGAATAATATTTGGAACAAATGGACCTGTTGACCTGAAAAAATTAACAAGTTTCTTCAGAGGAGATTATTGTAGAAGTCTAACTGGAAAACCCAAACTTTTCATTATTCAGGTAGTATGAAATTGAACACCTTGGTTGTGGAGAATTAATCAGAGATTAAATTTACTCCACTGTGAGGGGGCTGGGGTTGTGGCTCAGTGGTAGAGTGCTGAGTGAGGCCCCTCACATGTGTGAGGCCCTGGGTTCTATCCTCAGCACCACATAAAAATATATATATAAAATAAAGATATCGTGTTCAACTACAATTTTAAAAAAAAAGAAATGTGTTTCTTTTAAAAAAAAAAAAAAATTTACTCCACTGTGGATTATCCAAAGGATTTTTTTTTCCTTAAGACTACAGAACAATTGTTACATTTTTATTTATTTAAACCATCACTTAGGAAAATGGAGTACATTTCAATTGTAGACTTATATCAGACAGACTCAGTAAAATTAGCATTGGATTTTACATAGCCTTTACCTTTCTTAGATATGAGTTATGTACATACACACATATTAAATGTTTATTTTCTAACATGTAGGCCTGCCGGGGTACAGAACTAGACTGTGGCATTGAGACAGACAGTGGCATTGATGATGACATGGCATGCCACAAAATACCAGTAGAGGCCGACTTCTTATATGCATATTCTACAGCACCAGGTAAGAAAGTTACATATAGTGAATGTTATGTGTAGATTTTAAATGAATTTCACTTTAGCCATTTGGAGACTTAAGCAATGAAGAGTATGTTCCAGAAACTTGTTAAGATCTCAGTATCCCTAAAAAATAACCATCTTGTCTATATTTTTAGGATACCACAGAGAAATCTCAAAAAAATGTAGACATGGGGGCCAGGTTGTGGCTCAGTGGTAGAGGACTTGCCTAGCATGTGTGAGGCACTGGGTTCGATACCTGGCCCCACATTAAAAAATAAAGATATTATGTCCATCTACAGCTAAAAAATATTTTTTAAAAAATGTGTAGACTTACACAGTGCCATTCACAAACTTAAAATATCAAAAAGAGTATACTATATGGCAACAGAGGCTAAGTAAGAACTTCACCCACTTACTAAAATAGAAGAGAGGTACAATTTATCCCCCCTTGTCCATAGTTTCAGTTTTTGTATTTTTAGTTAACTATGGTCAACTGTAGCCAGAAAATAAATTAAATGAAAAGTTCCAGAAATAAATAATTCATTAAGTTTTAAATCACAATATACCCAAAGTGGCATGATGAAATCTCTTTTCATTTCTCCTGAGAAATTAACCATCCCTTTGTCTACCGTACCCAGGCTGTATCTGCTATCCACTCATTAGTCACACAGTAGCCATCTCAGTGTCACATTTAATGTCTAGTTATCAGTTCTTATAATCAAGTTCCCCTTATTTTACTTAAGAAAGCCCCAAAGTTTAAAAGTAGTAATGTTGGAAATTCAGATATGCCAAAGAGAAGCCATAAAGTGGTTCCTTTATGTGGGGGGGGGGGGGGATTAAGGGAAAGTTTTTTACTTCCTATGGGGGGGGGGGGCTTTATACTGAGGTTTCTAAGATATACAGTAAGAATGAATCTCTCATGAAGTTGTGAAGAAGAAAAAAGAAATTCATGTTAATTTTGCTGTTACGCAATAAACTACAGAAATTGTGGCCGCAGTACATGATGAATTCTTAGTTAAGATGGAAAAGGCATTAAGTTGTGGGTAGAAGACATGAATGTGTTTGTGTGTATTATACAAAGGATTTTTTTTTTTCCCTAAGACTACAGAACTCTTTTACATCCGTATTTTCTAAGTGATGATTGATTGAAATGAATAAAAATGTAACAATAGTTCTGTAGTCTTAGAAAAATAAATAAATCCCTTAGTTAATCCACACATAAAAAGAAACAAACAGCATATATAGGGTTCAGACATCCATTGGGGATGTTGGAGCACATCCCCTGTGAACAAGGGATGACTGTTTTCTAGGAATTCTTTGGAAGACAGGTAAAAAGATAAACATGACTACAATAGAAGAGGGTAGAAGTGAATGGGAAAAAATAAAGAAGGTAAAAATAATTTATAAATATGCTATTAACCACATTTTTATGGTTGTGTTTCACATATACATAAACATTTTATTGATTCTACAACTATTATACAGCTAACTCAAGGGGTCAAAGACTTTGGAAACATAAATCTATGTTTTATCTTATGTTTCCAAACTCTTTGACACTTTGAGTTTTTTTTAACAGTGTTACATTTTTAAATATGTTCAATATGGTTTCCTTTATCTTCTAGTTATCTCTCCAGGAGCAGTACTTCTAAGTTAAATGCAGTGGGTCCAATGGTTGATCTGAAAAAGTACAAGGAAAACACTATTTTCCCTTTTCAGACTTTTTGAATACTCTGTGTTTATTGTACTTTATTTAGATGCCTGTAGCTAATGACATCTCAAATATGTGTGCAGGGGCTGGGGCTATGTCATAGAGCGCTTGCCTAGCACCTGTGAGGCCCTGGGTTCGAGCCTCAGCACCACATAAAAATAACTAAATAAAATAAAGGTATGCTGTCCATCTACAAGTACAAAAATATTTTTTTTTTTAAAAAAAAGTGTGTTCATACATAAGCAATTTATTTCTTGACTAAGCCAATATTAAAATAAGGTGAGGGGCTGGGGCTCAGAGGTAGAGCATTTGCCTTGCATGCGCGAGGCGCTGGATTTGATCCTCAACACCACATAAAAATAAAATCAAAAGATATTGTGTCTACTTATAACTAAAAAATGAAATTTGATTGAAAGACCACATAATTTATAATGGTCCTTTTTATATGTCTTTGCTTTTGCATCATCTTATCTTCTGCATGTTTGTTTGTTTTTATCTATGGGAAGGGAGCCCAGAAAGTAAAACTCACGGTAACTCAGTGGTAAAGTTAATCCACAATTCTCTTTCCCTGCTGAAAGCAGAGGTGAATACACAATGTACATCACCCCCCACCCCCAGCCCAGCATCATTTCTCCTGAAACCAGAGAAGCCATTTTTCCTTTTTAAGTCTAAAAAGACCTGTGGAAGTTCATGCTTATTTTTATCATTGAGGTTATATAATAATGTATAGAGTCAATTAAAGTCAGGTATCCATGATATTTTGGTTATATGTTGTCTTGTAGGTTACTATTCCTGGCGAAATTCCAAGGATGGATCCTGGTTCATCCAGTCACTGTGTGCTCTGCTGAAACAATACGCTCATAAGCTTGAGTTTATGCATATTCTCACTCGGGTAAACCGGAAGGTAGCAACAGAATTTGAGTCCTTTTCTCTTGACTCCACTTTTCATGCAAAGAAACAGATTCCATGTATTGTGTCCATGCTCACAAAAGAATTGTATTTTTATTCCTAAAGAAATAGTTGATTTTGTTAGTTTGTATGCCAAGTGAGACAACAATATAAATAATACTTTGTTTCCTCTCCCACTTAAATTTTATCTAAAGATGGTACTTTGAAACATACCACTTCTGCAGTAGAACCACAATGAAGCTACCTCAAAATTAGGTAGTTGGACTTGAATTTAATTAGGAATAAATAAATATGAATAATGGTGCAATTATTATGAGAGGAAATTATTGTAAATTTATATCTTTCATAATTCACAAGATTTAGTGATGCCATGCTATGAATTTTCAATAATTTATGAAGATTAAATGTTTCAGTAATGATGAATTTTAATATTTTCCTCCACACACTTAAGACTGTGCATTCTAGTTTTTGTCAAACTATATAAATGATGATGTGGAATTATGGACCTTAGAACTTGGGGGACATTGGCGTGTTCAAAGGCTTAAGCCTTTATTTTAGAATTGATAAATGGAAGTCAGCCAACTGCATTTTTACATCAGTTGTCATAGCTTATGGTTTTGTGCTATTTGTTCTGAGCATGTCTATTATAAAAAAATTATGTCTACTTGAAGAGAACTAAATATTTTAGAGAAAGTATGAGCAAGCTGAGTTGATTCTTTTAAGGCTAACTTGCAACATTAATGGACAGACAGAATCATAACTTTAAGGTGCTAAGCTCTACCAGCATATGTTTCTTCTCATTTGTTTTTATGCAAATCAACTTTACAGACCAACAAAATGTGTAAAGAACTAATATAAAAAAATTCAATTTTTGATTGTTAGGCTAAACAAAGAACTGCTACAGGAACATACTAAAATATGATGTGTACAATAAATAGTGAAAATATAAGGAAAGAACAATAAATGATCAGCTGGGCACTCTGTAATTTGAGAGAAAATAGTTTGAGCCTAAGATGTGGGACAGCCTATTCAGTGTAGGCAGAGCCATAGACTGGGCTTCAGAAAAGCACCACCCGCTGGTTTCTTACATGTACAGGTGTACGTGTGGCAGATGCTTCTTAGGCATGTCATAAGAAGATGGACCAAACCAGAAACTTACAAAATGGATATTTTTCCAAAGGTGGTGAGAGTCATAATAAAAATCATGGTATTCCTTGTGGTAAAACTTGTAAATGTTATTTTCTGAAGTTTACAGTCAAAGTAAAATAGTGGCAAAATTGTATGTAGTTATCTGAAATAAAAGGACCATGCACACAGGACTTCAGAAGCATCTGGTGGGAGCCTGTCCTGTGCACAGAGGGAACCTGGAGGCCAGAGCTTAGCCCCAGCCAACGAGGCCAGAATCCTGGCTTCCTCACACCTGGAAACATTGAGCCATTACTGACTATACTGGCAGGTCTCACTGGCTTTTGTCCAGCATTTCACATGAGCTTTCTTTTTGCCCAAAGAAAGGAACTCATGTTTTAATTTACAGCTAATTGATTCGATCTATTGACTTTTTCTAAGACAATGTAGCATGTAATGGTATCTTATGATGTGTTCCTGTGTGACAATTTTGTAAAAATTTGTTATTGCATTTTTATTTCAAAACATAAATTCAAACTTAAAATCACCAATGTGTTTGAGTTCTTTATTGATGATGATGTATTTGATGTTGTGCTGCTAAATGGAAGTTAAAATATTTTTAACCACGAGCTTAATCCAGAAGATTCAAAGAGGATGCAACAAGGCTATAATGTGACATTTTAAGGTGCTAGCTCACCTTACAGACCTCACTCAGGTCATGGGTCCTATGAGATGGTCCCGTCCTGTTTCTAAAATGACCAGGATGCCAGGTTTGCATAGATCTCAGTCAATAAATAGGACCATATTTCTGAATTTTTAAATTTTCTACCACATAAATTTTTAGCAGGGCAAAGGACAATCTAAACCACAGAGGCTGGGGTTCAGTCAGAAACAATAAAATTGGAACAGGAGCTCTTATTTCCAAGGAAGAAAGTGGCTTGAATGATTTTATTAAACCTCTTTTTTTAAAACTGTGGCTTTGTACTGTGTTGAGAAAAATCTAGCCTATTCTAATCTCCCTGCTATATAAAGAGGTCTCAGATATTAAAAAGAAGACCAACAGCTCACTAGAAAAATGGGCCAATGTCATTAAAAAAGACCACAGAAAAAGAAAGACCAGATTCCCTTAAACTTGAATAAAGAGCTTGTTCTCCATCATAATGAGAAAAAATTAAGGAATTATGTTATCTTAAGACTGGCAAGAATTTCCAAAATTTGCTATCAAGGCAGGAAATACATACTCCCATTGATGGGAGTGTGAAGTGATCTGATCCCCTGTGGAATATGACCATACCTATCAAATCCTTAGTCTTTGAAGTGGGACTATCTAGAAATCTAGACTATCTCTCCACCTGCCAATATACAAAATTACAGGCAATATTTTCATTGCAACATTGTTTTAATGATTTTTAAAAATGGCAGGAACCTAACTGCAAAGAAAATAGGTCAAATACATTGGTGCATTCACACAGGAGAGAAGGAAGTGCTTAGAGGGAAAAGTGAGTTGAAAGTTTTGATTTTTGCTTTATTAAGTGGAAGAGATTTGAGCAAGATTTGATGGCAGGGATCCAATTAAGAAAAAAATTGAAAATGTTAGAGGGAAAAGTAACTGGCAGTATAGGATCCCTGAGAACCCCAAGAAGGATAAACCAGCATAACTAGAGTGCAGCAGGGAGAAGAGAATATTTTCTTTTAAAAAACAGTAAAAGTATGAGAAACTAGGTGTGAATTAAGCTAGATGTGTACTTTTTGTGGCAGGAAGTCTGTAGTGGTAGCTTCTATATCATCTGAAACAAGTCAAGGACTCACCGAAAGTAAGAAATGAGAGTGGAATTGAGTTCAAAGTTAAGCGGGGGAGAAGTTGACCAGAAAAGATCAGTAAAATGGTGGGGGCGGGGCAGTTGAAACCTACATTGTGAGTGTACAGTGGCACCAACCTTCACTGGTTTTATCTAGAAACGTTTAGGGCTTGGCACGGGTGTTGCCTGTGTTGGTTTTTTCCAACATTGGGCTTTTGCCTGCATTTATTTAAAATAGGAATCGACAGATTTCAGGATTCTAGGAAATGCTTTTCTAAATTGATGAACCATGGCATCTAAGCTAAATAGATGGAAATGAAACTATAGGGGTATATAATTCTAGGGAATAAAAAGAGTGACTGCTTTTCTTTAGAATGTTGAGCAAAGGGATTCGGTGTAACCTTGCAAAGGACAATTCACAAAGCACCAGCCACTATTACAAACTCAGAGCCACTCTAATACACTCATATTCTTACAGTTACCTACTAAAATTTAAGGTGATTTACTATGGGTTCTCTTCTTTCATCTCACAAAGTCATTGATGGAGGCTTATTGTACACATTTATCCATGAACCATCAATCCCTCTCTCTGTTTAGTGTTCAAGCCCTGATCTAAATGTCCCTTCAAATCATTGGATCGATATCAACTATGGAGTGTCCTTGGGAAGGGAAAAGTAAATCCACCATATTAAGAGTTTTTCAGCATGTGAAACATAGATAAAATACAACTAAGAAATATTTTCGCAAAACAATCACATGCAGTTCCTTTCAACTCAAATGAAACAACTTCAGTTCCTCTCTCTGCTCCACCTCCCACATCTACCCTTTCTCTCTTGGGTTGCATACAGCTCTGGAATCCGTAGTTGGCTGCCACTTCCCATTCTGAACTCATTTCCTCATCTCTAAAATGGGAACAATAATATTGTCAAAAGACAAATTTAATTTAAAAGATCTGACTTTATTAGCAATTCATGAATCATGCTGCTTCTTGTCTATAAAAATAGACAGGTGCTCCATTAAGCTGAGCGGAGGAAGTTGGCTTTACAAGCAGAAAAGGGCCAAACAGGGAACAAAAAGGAAATTCGCTATTTCAAAGTTACTTTTCTTATGGGATTAAAACAGGGGACTTCCTTGTCATTCTGGATCAGGTAAACTGGGCCCCTTCCGATGGCTACTGCGACTCTCTTGCTTTTTTGAAAAGTAGCTCTTTTCAAAATTCAGTTTTTACTTGGCACCTAGCATGAGTGCGTGCATTCTGGTTTAATCTGGTCTGTTAGGCCTCATACCAATCCACTCACCTTATAACTCGCCCGTTCTTGGAGTAAAAAAAAAAAAAATCCAATGGTCAATTCTGGCTAGTACAGGATGTCAGAAAAATCAATGAGGCCATTGTTCCCACATACCCAGTAGTGCTGAACCTCTAATCTTTTTTATCTCATATCCCAGCCTCCATCACACATTTCTCAGTATAAACTTAGCCTTGAAATATGCCTTCTTTATCATTCCCCTCCATCCTGCCTCACACCCACTTTTCACTTTTACCTGGACAGACCCAGACACTAACTACGCAGCAACTCACCTGGACAGTTCTCCCCCAGGGATTCTCAGGGAGCCACCAATACTGGTTCATAGATGGCCTGGCTCTCCAACAAGAGAGTTTGTCCCCTAGTATGTAGATGACCTCCTGCCCTGTAGTCCTTCACTAAAATATTCCCACAGGTCACACTAGCATCCTGCTTAACTCTCTGACCTCCTGGGGGGACCAGGTTTCTCAATCTAAGGCCCAACTCTGCTTCCCTTAGGTATAATATTTAGGAAGCCTAAATATTGACTCCAGACTTTAAAAAACATTCCTCTTCCAACCACCAAAAGAAACATGCTGTCCCTGTTTAGGCCTTTTTAACTATTTCTGTATATAGATACCAAAATTCTCCCTCATAGCCAAATCCCTCTATGAAGCTTCCAAAGGGAACCTATTGGATCCTCTTCCATGTCCCTGTTCTTTTTCCTCCACCATGTCTACTCTACAGAATTCTCAAATCCTCAACTCTATTTTTACCAAACCCCAACAAGCCTTTTCCTGTCACTCCATTGAGAACATAGACAAGGCTTGGGAGTTCTTTACCAAAAGGCTGGGGATACCCCCCACCCATCCCATTGCATTCCTATGGAAACAATTAGTTTATCAAGGCTGGTCCCAATGCCTCAAAGTTTTAGCAACAGCAGCTCTCCAAATCCCTGAAGCAAGAAAATTTGCATTTTATCAACTCTTACTGTTCTTACTACACACTCTCTCCCAGATCTTCTTAGTCATCATTCATGTTTATCCCTTCCCCCAACCAGAGTCCAATGACTGCATCGCAATTCCTGGATCCCCTAACCACCTTCCAGCAAGACTCCTCACTAAATCTGGCCACTCTTCTTCCAACAAAAAACCCTCTGGCCATGTAATTATTCACTCTTGTCCTGACATTCTGGACTTCTAGATGAGTTCATTTTCTCACATAATGGATCAGCATTTACCTGACTCCCAGACTGGTTCATAGATGGAAGCTCCCAGAAACAGTCCCCTTACCTTGCAGGTTATGCTATAATTCAAGGAAAAGCTACAGCAGATTCTCCTTTCATTTTCACCTAGATATTAGATTATCTCCCTTACCTCTAGGCACCACATCCCAGCAAGCTGAGTTAGTGGCCTTCACCTGAGCTTTATCATTAGCCAGGGATAACCAGCCAATATTTTTACTGATTCCAAATACACCTACAAAAATATTCATTCTAACATCTTAATCTGGAGGGAAAGGGGCTTCCTAACTCAAGACAGGAATGCTGATTCTTAATGCTAGCTACATAAAAGGTTTGCTTGAAGCTGAACTTTCACTCGGTAAGGTAGCAATCTTACACTGTAAAGGGCATCAGACTAATAAAAATTACACTAATAAAAATTAACCAGGGGGCTGGGGTTGTGGATCAGTGGTAGAGTGCTCGCCTAGCATGCATGAGTCCCTGAGTTCAATCCTCAGCACCATATAAAAATAAAGATACTGTGTCCACCTAAAACAAACAAAAAAATATATTAAAAAAAAAATTAGCCAGGACACAGATAGGCTTGCTAAGAAAACTGCTCAGTCTAGTCACCACCCCCAAACAGTTTTATATTCCATGCCTACAAAACTTCAGCTTCCTTCTAATGCAACCAAGGTCCTTCTGTCTTCACAATTTATTCCATCTGAACACTCATTCTCTCCAAATATTCCTAAAGAATTCACTAAACCTGTCCCCTTCAGACTTAAAATGTCTCCAGTAAATTTTCCAATCATGTACAACCTGTCTCAACGCTAACCCTAACTCTGAGACCACCTCCATTTCCCACACATCAAGCTAGAGGAGTCCTTCCAGCCACAGACAGGCAGCTTGACTTTACACACATGCGATAATGGCACCCTCTTCTCCACAGAAAATCTTAACTAAGTTTCTCCAGAAATCTTACCATAATTGATTTTAGGACAATCAGAAAAAGAATCTCTACAAAAGAGTTCAATGTAGGTAAAATTCCTATTTTCCTGTTGCTGTACTTTACTTGGCCACTGGCGTGGAAGAAATCAGTGTTTCGGGTGCTGAATGCCCCCCCCCCCCTTTTTTTAAAGAGAGAGAGAGAGAATTTTAATATTTATTTTTTTGTTTTCGGCGGACACAACATCTTTGTTTGTATGTGGTGCTGAGGATCGAACCCGGGCTGCACGCATGC